TCCGGCCCTGGCCAGGACCTAGGCCTATAGTTGCATTTTTCGCAGCTGTTTCTGGTTAGGTCTAATAAATGTATATAAATTTCCACTCGACAATTTCCATCTACAAGACCGACCCTTCAACTATTATTCATATTCAATTGAGTAAGATGCCAACAAAATCTTGATATTTACCCATGCAGAGTGTAACGTTTAGAAAGTTGGCCAATCGTCTATCTACCGTCATTCTTATTGATATCATCTCTTTTTGTTTCTAGCATCATTCCATACGTCCGTACTATATTCTACGTGATGCTTGCCATATATGGATGTCTAGTTCTCAGCGCTTTTCACTACTTCAGTCCGTTTACGTACGGTGACACACATCTCACCGGCGACCAAATCCTGCAAAGAAAATGGCTGAACTCCTGGGAGTTTCTGGTACACCACTGACGAACCTTGCAGTGTTGCACAAATCCAAGGAGACGAATCATTGCTGCAAGACAAATTCGATGTACAATGTAACGGACAATTCCCATTACAGACTAATTTTTTATCTTGGCAAAAAAGTATATTCCAGGAAAGAGCATACTAAAATGAGTAAAATTGCAATGTTGGTTGAGAAATGTTGTAAAATGCGGAAAATATAGCCTTGCAAAGTTCGCAAATTTTGTACACTTTTGTATTGCGTGCGGAAATTGCCAACACATTTGGGCAGAAAATGGTAGCAATTTCCGCACGCAATACAAAAGTATACAAAATTTGCGAACTTCGCAAGGCTATGTTTGCCGTATTTTACAACATTTCGCAACCGAACTTTGCAATTTTACTTATTTTAGTATGCTCTTTCTGGCTGTGGTGATTTATTTGCATCTCTTTGCCTAGTTTTAAAATTAGTCTATAATGGGAATTGTCTATGGCGGAAGCATATTCCGACGAATGAACGCGACGTGCACCCGGACTGCTTGTTCGTACTGCTTGTTCCCAGTTGCTGACAAGTATGGGGCGAGTTATCATCTTGTACCTCACAGAGTTTTATTCAAATGAACAGATTATACCACTCAGGGCATTTTTTAACTATATAACTACTGGGGCATTTACCCCATGCAGTAGGCTCTTTGCTTGCCCCAGTAGTGAAGCAATATTTTCAGATGAGCTGGGCCCTTTTGATCATCAGTTAAAAGTCATCGTTGTTGAAAAACCTGCATCTGCCTGCTTTCTCATATCCTCTCACATTCTCGACATTCCATCTTAAGTTAACTAAGTCAGGACAGCATGGTCTTTATACGTACGCGTATCTGTGTGAGGAAAAAAGCCCTCATTGAGACTTAGCCCCAGTAGTTGTGATTCAGTAAAAAATGCCCTGTATACCAGTTTGTATCAGTGATATATATATATATATATATATATATATATATATATATATATATATATATATATATATATATATATATATATATATATATATATATATATATCAAGAGCCAGCCCCAAAAAATCTTCATTTATAAATATCAAGAAATCATAAATCTTCAAAGTAAATAAATTATATTTTTACGTTTCGGGGACAAGCCCCTTCTTCAGAATAACGCTACATCATCTCCGTCTCTTGCTTAAATAGTCTAACGTTTAGCTATGCATAAATTAATTAAACCTCTTCCCTTAAATTAAGCCCACGTGGGACATAACTATTTAGTTTCTCAATCCAAAAACTCTCCCTCTCAGTGGGGTTATTAACGTCCGTGACGTCAATAACCTGCACTAAAAAATCACTTAGACCTGAATGTCCCTCCCCCCAAAAATGGGCATACAATTGTTGCCCACAAATATTTCTCTGCCCCCGCCCATATCTATTTAATGCACTCTTGTGGTTATTAAATCGCAATCTGAACGGTGTTATGGTATTCCCCACATATTGCAACCCACAGAATTTACAACTAATCAAATATACTATACCCTCCGAGTCACAATCGAAGCGATGATTAATGCAGAAAGACCGCCCCTCAACATGGCTTTTAAAAGTAGCACCAACAATAACATTATCACAGATTTTACATTTCTTCTTTCCGCACTTAAACATCCCTACGACCGTTTCCTCTTCCCTTCTCAATTTAGAACGGACTAAGTGATCTTTAAGGTTTTTAGACCGACGAAAACACACCATTGGTGGTTCTGGCATAATACTTAAAAACCTTTCAGACCAACTTACAATTACTTGCAATTCCCTAAAGATATTGTAAAGGACCCTCAATGCTGGATGATAATCTATCACAAAACAATTCCTATTACTATTCTTAACACCTTCTTTCCGCATTAACAAATTATTCCTGTCGACTTTTCTCACTCTACCAAACTGGTCATCAACAAAATCCGAATTATAGCCCCTCTTGACCAAAAAACCTTTTAGCTCGCTTAGTTTTTCCTTGAAGGGAAAAACTAAGCTTGAAGGGGCTTGTCCCCGAAACGTAAAAATATAATTTATTTACTTTGAATATTTATGATTTCTTGATATTTATATATATATATATATATATATATATATATATATATATATATATATATATATATATATATATATATATATATATATATATATATATATATATATATATATATATATATATATATATATATATATATCTGGTGCAAGAACTTCAGTCATTCGGCCAGTCATCGTGAAGCCAGGATGGCGGCCATTGACGTCCCAAAACTGGTTATCGTTCCATGTTTCGCGCACCAATATAGGTTAGGGTTGGGGTTAGGGTATGTATATGGAGGTATCTGAGTTGACTTTGCAGTACACTATGATATCCATTACATAACGTTTACTATATATTGGTGCGCGAAACATGGAACGATTACCAAAAAACTCGTAAACAGTTTTGTTGAAAACAGATTGTTATACCATTTTTCCTCAATTAAATCCAGTTTAGTCTAAAGAACTGTATCGCTAATTAAGTTGTCAGTCCATAAAATCATAATATTAGTCTTTAAATCGAAGTCAAAATACGAAATTTCGGCCGGCACACTCCTTGCCAAGATGGCGGAAATTGAAGAGGTATAGGAGGTCAGTTCCAGTGCCTTTCTATTGATTTTGTATGCGCGGTTAATAGGAAGCTGGCTCAATGAAATAAGCTGGCTTAGCTGGCTTCACATTTTGGACTCGAGTTCTCGCTCCCTCCAGATATATGTGGAACTCAGTGGTTTATATGAACTGAGATTATGAGTTGTATGTATTGAGTAGTTTGATTATTATTACAGTTTCGGTAAAAAAAAATTGAACAAAATGTCTGTTCCTACTAAGCTATTTTATTTTGTGCTATAAACCATGTATGGGTCGTAAGAGTCGACGTTCTGGTGGAGGAGATTTGGGGGGAAGAGTTGACTGAATTGCACGGCCAGCGGACAACTTAAGAAAATATAAAAAGAAACAAATTTCGAATAATAGTGCCGTCTTGAAATTTAAGATTTCAATCCATATACGAACGTTTGAAACTGTAAATTTTCGACTTTTTGTTAATTCATCATCAGACAGAATCCTTCAATATCAATGGACCTTTCACCTTTTGACTAAAATTTTGAACTCAACAAGTCTAGACAAAAATTTTATCACAGCTTGAAAGAGCATCACAAAATTAGTAATATTCCAAAGTTTCATTGCGAAATGTTGTAAAATGCGGATAATATAGCCTTGCGAAGTTTGCCATTTTCTGTCATTTTGTATTAC